TGACTGACGGTACCCTGAGTAGTCCCTCCCTGTGAGAACGAACTGGTCGGTGGGAGGCTATGGGTGGCAAAAGACGGTCTCGTAGGTACCCAGGTCCTAAGCCATGGAGCGCTTTAAAGGTGATAACTAAAAAAAAAAAAAACCCTTAAAAGCCTGTTGCCTATCATACTCTTGGGCAAAGCCATTTCCTCTTTTCAGTAGTCCATGAAAGTGCATCTATAGTATGTAGATAATTAAGTTGGAAAAAGGTGAACAACATTTTTACAGAACTATAGATACGTTGAGGCTGAGTGTGACAAGGAATGGCTGGGAGGGGAGGGGCCAGGCTAGGCACCCCTCGACATGAGTGACACTGAGTTGGCCATGCCCACCCAGTCACATGACCACTAAGCCACGCACACCCAGTCACATGACCGCCAAGCCAAGCCAAGCCCAACAAGCAAGCCATGCCCACAGAACCGGTAGTAAAAAATTTTGGAACCCACCCCTGGCACTGGCATTGTTATCTGTGGTGTGCTGATATTTGTCTAGCCTGAGATGAGTGTCCATGATCGTTAGTAATATCATTGCACAAATATTCTGCTATCCCCTCTAGCAAAATTCACACTGACGTTCTCTGCATAATTGAAACAAGGCTTATTAAATACTTGAAGGGCCACCCCAAAGAAGAGGGGGTCAATTAATTTTCCAAAGCATCTGAAGGCAGAACAAGAATCAATGGATGACAACCCATCGAGGAGAGAAGCAACCTGGAATTAAGGAGAAACTTCCTAATGGTGAGAACAATGAACCAATGGAACAACTTGCCTCCAGAAGTTGTGGGTGCTTCATCACTGGAGGTTTTTAAGAAGAGCCATTTGTTTGAAATGGTATAGGACCTTTTGCTCCAGCAGCGGGTTGGACTAGAAGACCTCCAAGGTCCCTTGCAACTCTGTTATTCTATTCTATAGAGTCAGTGGCCGGAATCAAGAGCCACCTTCCAATCTTGTTCTGGTTGGAGGGGCTGGAAGAGAATGAGGCCAAGCTCCCCTTTTTGTACCCAAGGAACAGCCCTCCCCACTTTCGTGCCAATTCTGTGCATCCAGCGGTTCCTGCTGAGGACCTGGGAACCTTGCTCGCTGCCTACTCCGCAGGGCAACTGGAAGAAGCCATGATTTGCAGCAGCTGTTTCACAAGTGGGCTGCCGACTCATGTCATGTGGTCTAAGGTGGGCATCATGCTACCTTCTGGGACTCCACAGATACTTCACACCTCTCCACTTAGACTCATTCAAGAAAACAGGATGGGAAGCCAACCTGCTGCTTTATCTTTTGTTGCCCAAAGAGACTCTGGATTTATGAGGAAAAATAAATACATACAAGCATCTAGTGGGTGCCAGGGAAACAATTGACTCATTCCCTGAAAGGGATCTCTCTCTTGCTTTCTCCCTGATTCTAGGACATCAGGAGGATTTCTCCCTAAGAGTTTCTGATGTAATTTCTCCTCCTCCTCCTTTTTCTGAGACTATCTTTATCCTTTTTTAAAGGCAGGGTTAAACAGTATTTGTTTATTCATATGACCAACCCAGTGGTGGGATTCAAATTTTTTTACTACCGGCTTGTTGGGCATGGCAGGGGAAGATTACTGCAAAATCCGCATTTCCTCCCGATCAGCTGGGACTCAGGAGGCAGAGAATAGATGGGGGTGGGGCATTTACCGGTTCTCCGAACTACTCAAAATTTCCGCTAACAGTTCTCCGGAACTGATCAGAACCTGCTGAAACCCACCTCTGGACCAACCAACATCATTGATAGGTTGACTGGCTGTTTATAATCAGAATAGGGTTGGAGGGAACCTTGGAGGTCTCCTAGTCTAGCCCCCTGCTCAATCAGGAAACCCTAAACAATTTGAGACAAGTGGCTATCCAGTCTCTGTTTAAATACTTCCAGTGATGAAGCACTACCCACAACTTCTGGTGGCAGGAGTTCCACTGGTTAATTGTCCTCACTGTCAGGAAGTTTCTCCTTAATTCCAGGTTGCCTCTCTCCTTGATTAGTTTCCATCCGTTGTTTCTTGTCCTGCCCTCAGGTGCTTTGGAAAATAAGATGACCCCCTCTTCTTTGTGGCAGCCCCTCAAATACTGGAATACTGCTATCATGTCCCACCTAGTCCTTCTTTTCTCTAGACTGGCCACACCCAAGTCCTGCAACCATTCTTCATATGTTTTGGAACGTTTGCAGGAACTGGGTAAGGCTAATTTTCTGCTATTGGTGGCCACTGAAGGATTCCCTCTACTTCTTCATCGGCTAAATATTTTACCATGAAAAGATGAGAAAATATTTGAGAGATCCAGGCAGGATTTTTCCACCTGAGGCCTTTTTTCTACGACAGGTTGGCAGCTAAAGGTAAGGAAAGACAGGTGTCCTTTACATCCATTTTACGATGACCCTCAATTCTGTGATATGTTGGAATGTATTATTCCCACCAGGTCAGGTTCTTTCATAGATTTGCTCAGTAATTATTGTGTTATGCAACATGCATAAACTTTATGCTGGATAAATTGCAGCCACTCCATCAATTCTGCCAGGTGGAGAAGGAGGGAGGGGGTGTCCACAATCTGCAAATGAAATTGGAGGAAGGAAGACCATCCTGTCCATTCTTTGCATTTTCCCTCCCTGTTCTCCATTCTGTCTCTCTCTTACATTCTTTTGCTGCTGTTCCTCCTTCTTTTAGTAGGCCTTTAAAGGACGCTCGTGAGTTTTATTAGACAGTATGGTGCTGCCACCTTCTGCCTTCAATTTAACACCAACAGAGATCCTGGAAACTGCTGAGTAGCCATTTTTATCCACACAGTACTGTATCTTCTAAAATCAAACCAGGTTTGATACATAGACCTTCAGAGGACAGGGAACAGTCAGCTCAGCCATAAAGCATTTAAAAGGCTAAGAAAAGTTGCTAGGCTGGGGGAAGATAATAAGAGCAAAGATAGGCTCTGAGATCGAAAGGCAATTGAAAATAAACCCTGTAACAATAACTCTCCAGAAAGAAACTACGTGACGTACTGCCTCTTTGTTCTCTCAAAACTATCATGGTCTTTGTTGTGCTGCCCTCGCGTACCTTACCGTTTTTCCCTAACTGTTTCACCTGTTGTATCGAACAATTTAATCAAATACTTGGCTGTTGCAATCAATCGCACATATATTCTGAGTCAAGTTGGAACCGTTTCTGAACCACTTGGACACTTACCGCTGTTCAACTTGCCAAAGAACTGGTGGGGAGATATGGGTGAGAAGGAATGCAGACGATCCAAGAATAGACTATGTGAGCCAAGAACCAAGGTCACTATTGCAGGTGTCCGACAAAGAGGGGAACTGCTCTCAAAACAAAAGACTGATTCAGAATTGGACAGTGTGATCCCTCTGGGTGGGAAGAAGGGGAAGCCAATGTTTAACTACGTGGCATTGCGCAGGAAAATCTCAGAGCCGGCTTTTATTCTTAAATGCCGAAATGGTGTGCTCAATAAAGATTCACTTGGGGAATTTTAAAGTTCCTGAGAGCGGCTGCTTTCCTTGGGTGCGCTAGTCGGACAGTTGACATTCCAGTCATCCTCAACTTACAGCCATTCATTTAGTGATCATTTGAAAATGCTTACAAGGATCATTTGAGGATGTATCACAGCATCCTCACGGGTCATATGATCCAAATTCAGGCCATTGGCAACCGGTATATCTTTATGAGGGTTGTGGGGTCATGTGATCACCCTTTGCAACTTTCCCAGCTGGCTTCTGATCAGCAAAGTCAATGGGGGTGGGGAGCTGGATTCGCTTAACAACCATGTGATTTACTTAACAGCTGTCATGATTTGCTTAACAAATTTCAATTTCAATTTCAATTTAATTCCATTTATATGCCGCCCCTCTCTGAAGGCTCACAATACATTTAAAATCCTAATAAAAAACATTTAAAAATTAAAAACATTAAAACTCATTCATACCATTCATGGCTGGATCTCGCCAGATCGCAAGAGCAAGATCAACGGCCCCAGGCCTGCCGGAAAAGCCAGGTCTTCACCGCTTTTCGGAAGGCCAATAGGGTGGGGATGGTCTGGACCTCAGGAGGTAACTGGTTCCAGAGAGCCGGGGCAGCCACAGAGAAGGCCCTCCCCTGCAGGCCTGCCAGCCGGCATTGTTTAGCTGACGGGACCTGGAGGAGACCAACTCTGTGGGATCTTACCTGTCGCTGGGAGCTATGCGGTAGAAGGCGGTCTCGAAGATAACCTGGCCCTGAGCCATGTAGGGCTTTAAAGGTAATAACCAACACCTTGAATTGTGACCAGAGACCAATAGGGAGCCAGTACAGCTCACGGAGAATTGGTGTAATGTGGGTGTACCTAGGTGCACCCACGACAGCTCGCGTGGCTGCGTTCTGGACCAACTGTAGTCTCCGAACACTTTTCAAGGGTAGCCCCATGTAGAGCACTTTGCAATAATCTAACCGTGAGGTGACAAGGGCATGAATGACTGTGAGGAGAGCCTCCTGATCCAAGTAGGGTCGCAATTGGTGCACCAGGCGAACCTGTGCAAAGGTCCCCCTAGCCACAGCTGACAGATGTTGCTCTAATCTTAGCTGTGAGTCTAGGAGGACACCCAAATTGCGAGCCCGTTCTGAGGGGGACGATTTCTCCCCTCCCCCCCAGAACCAAGGATGGACAGTCAACATAGTCTTTAGGAGGCAATACCCACAGCCACTCGGTCTTGTCTGGGTTAAATCTGAGCCTGTTGACTCCCATCCAGACCCTCACAGCCTCCAGGCACCGGCACATCAAATGTCAAAAAAGTCATGAAATTGGGCCTGACTCACTTAACAACCCATTTGCTTAGCAACGGAAATTCTGCTCCTAGTAATGGTTGTAAGTTGAGGACTATCTGGACTGTATAGAGAGAGGAATTGCATCCCCTGCTCCTTTTTTTTAATTAGTTTCAGCTGCCTCCAGTACGGAAATAAAGCAATTTGCACTCCAGTGAAATTTATTTATATATTTATTTCATTTCTGTTCTTCCTTTGTTATTTTTGCATCTGCTGTTCTTTGATTTAAATGCATGCATGTAGCTTTTCTTGAAGGTTTTTATAGCAGACAAAGCAAAGGACATTTATAAAGCAAGCAAAAAAACAAAATCATGTGTGAGTTTTCTATGCAGGGTTGTTCTGCTTTAATTTTCTCGAACTTCCAGTTACGTAAAACCAGGCAGGCTCAAGACTGGCTCTGTTTTCTGGATGTGAAAGTCGGTTTGCAGAGTCAGTTCAGCTGAAGGAGGAAGAAAAAAGCAGCAGTTCCTCTGAGATTGTCAGAATGGAGCTGGAAGGGACCTTGGAGATCTTCTAGTCTAACCCCCTGCTGAAGCAGGAGACTCTATGCCATTTGACACAAGGGACTGTCCAGTCTCTTCTTAAAAACCTCCAGTGATGAAGCACCCACAACTTCGGAAGTCAAGCTGTTCCATTGGTTAATTATCCTCACTGTTAGAAAGTTTCTCCTTAATTCCAGGTTGCTTCTCTCCTTGATTAATTTCCATCCATTGTTTCATGTCTTGCCTTCGGGTGCTTTGGAGAATAAGTTGACCCCCCTCTTCTTTGGGGCAGCCCCTCAAATACTGGAATACTGCTATCATGTCCCCTCTAGGCCAGCCAAACCCAAATCCTGCAACCGTTCTTCATATGTTTTAGTCTCCAGGCCTTTTATCGTCTTACTTGCTCTTCTCTGCACTTTTTCCAAAAATCTTTTTTGTGGTGACTAAAACTGGATGCTGGATGTTAACCAAGGTAAAACTGCAGGTGGCAGTTCTTCCCATGGATTCCATAGAACAGTTCTTTAACTAGTCCACTAGTTGCCCACCAAATCTTGCCCTGAAGAACTTAAACATGCGGGTCATTAGATTCGGTTCCTTATTTCACACACCGCAAAGCTGATTTTCTTGTCATTCTAGCAGGATGTTAGTTGAAGGCAATGAGTTGATGCTGTGCAAAATACACTTTTACGACTGTAACATCTCCACTGCTTAATGGGTGGGAATATGCTGCTCTCACAAATAGCAATAGCCCTTAGACTTATATACTGCTTCACAGTGCTTTACAGCCCTCTCTAAGCGGTTTACAGAATCAGCATATTGCCCTCCCCACCCCCAACAATCTGGATCCTCATTTTATCCCCTTCTGAAGGATGGAAGGCTGCGTCAGCCTTGAGCCAGTCAGGATTGAAGGAACCGAACTCCTGGCAGTGAGCAGAGTTAGCCTGCAGTACTGCTTTCTAACCACTGTGCCACCATGGCCAAAGAAAACAAAGAAAGGGAATCATGAATGCCAACTAAAAATGCCAAAATGCACAGGTTAAGAAGAGAGAATGGGAATGTAGATGGTTAATGCAATGGTTTTGGCAGTGAAATCTGTGTTTATAAAGCAGTTGAAATGCCTGTTAGCTTCTCTTTACTTCCCCAAGGAATGCAGAAGTAGAAGGATCGAGGGATTCAATTCTTGCTTATTGGGTGATATCAGGATCCCTGCTATCTGCACACTTGGTAGACACCATTATCTGCAACTTCACCCGTGAAGTAGATCCCGGCAGGACCTGTGATTTTGTTCCCAGGGTATGCATGCAACGCGTTGTGTTTTCCATTCGAGTAGGACCAGTACCAGGCCTGGCCTCCGATGAGCAATCCCCCACCTTTCTTAACAAAATTCAGGATTTCGGCAACTTGCGAGTCATCATAGGCATCTCGGCAATACACCCCTATCGACTCCTCAAGCTTTCCATTAGGGTTAAGCTTCAGGCCACAGCCCTGCAGTGCCTGGTACAAGGAATACATGGTGCTGTGGAATCCCACTGTTGACGAGGAACTCGGCTTCAGCCACTCCAAAGCATTTCTAATAAAGGGCTGCACAGGCTGGCTTGGTAGAATCAATTCGTGGGAAGCCACCACCATTTTGCCTCTGCCATAGTAAGATGCCGCAATGAGTATTTGGCCGTTTGAAGACTTCAGCACCGGGAAGGCGTGGCCTCCTCTGAGCACAAGCTCACCGGGTTGATAATTTCCCCTTAAATCCAGACTATGGATGCCTCTCGTTAGCTGGTCCATTGGAATGAGCTTTAAGGGGGTATCTACCGATGGCTCTGAAAAAGAGGAAAAAGTATCAATTTCTGCCCTTATTGCTGTACGGGTAGTCCTCGACGGACGACCACAATTGAGCCAACGTTTCTGTTGCTAAGTGCGAACATTTGTTAAGTGGTTTTTTTTGCCCCGTTTTATGATCTTTCTTGCCACCGTTGCTAAGTGAATCACGGAAGTTGTTAAGCTAATAACATGGTTGTCCTGCCTTCATGATGAGTCTTGAGGACGGAGAAGCAACCTAAAACTAAGGAGAAACTTCCTGTTGGTGAGAACAATTCATCAGTGGAACAACTTGCCTCCAGAAATTGTGAAAGTTCCAATACCGGAAGTTTTTAAGAAGAGATTGGACAACCATTTGTCTGAAATGGTACAGGGTAGTGATAGCGAACCTTTTCAGCACCAAGTGGATCGTGCTCTAGAAAAGATGAACTTCCAAGTTCTGCCGCGCTTGTGCACCCGATAATCAGCTGGCCAGCGCACATGCGCACACCGGATTTTGGCACCGCCGCACGCACAAAGAACAGCTGATCGTCACACATGCATGTGTACCAGAAACCCAGAAGACAAACAGGCATGGCCACGCATGCTGGCCGACATGGCTTCGTGTGCCATTTTGGGCACATGTGCCATAGGTTCGCCATCACAGGTATAGGGTTTCCTGAGCAGCAGGTTTCCTGAGCAGGGGTTGGACTAGAAGACCTCCAAGGTCCCTTCCAACTCTGTTATTCTATTCTATTATTCTGACTCCTCATGGAACATCAGGCAAGATTGGAGGAAACGGACTGGGGTTCTCTGCTTCCCAAATGGGATCCTGGAAAACCGATTGGATGGATTGTGGTAAAGTGCCAGATCTCCAGTCCAGGAGTATGACTGGGATAGAGAGTTGGTTAAACACGTGATCATATTTTCCCTCAACATACTTTCTTCAAAACATTACCAAATGTGGCAAGAAAAGTTGTAAAATGGGGCAAAACTCACTTAACAAATTTCTCACTCACTCTGTTTCCCCGAAAAAAAGACCCAACCAGAAAACAAGCCCTAGCGTGATTTTTCAGGATGCTCGTAATATAATCCCTACCCCCAAAAATAAGGGCCAGTTAAGATTGTCAGCAGACGGAGGCATTTAGTACGGTGTTTCCCCCAAAATAAGATCTAACCAGAGAATAAGACACAGTGCATCTTTTGGAACAAAAATTAATATAAAACCCAGTCTTACTTTGGGGGAAACACAATAGGGCTCAATTGCGGTCGTAAGTTGAGGACTGCCTGTATATAGGTCTTCTATGGAAGGCAGGCTTGTTGCAATTCTTCTTAACTATTAGCCTTTAACTATCCGCTGAAGTCTGTGCCTGTCCTGTTTAGTTGCTGTACCAAAGCAGACAGTAACGGAAGTACAAATCACAGATTCAATCATTCCTTTGCAAAACTATATCAACAGCTCCTGTACTTCCTGAGTTGACGGGCGGGAAGAACATTCTTCCTTGTGAAAATAAGAGCCAAAGGGGGAAAAGAGTTTTTATTGGCAAGCCACAAATCAAAGTCCATGCGTCTTAAAGAAACATTGCTGTCAAGCATATGCTAAGCAAGGATATCTTGCTTCTTCTGTTTTTTTCTGTTTTCCGCTGTGATAGTAAGGGAAAGCAGGAACGCTAGGTACGTCTCCCTGCTCGTTTCCCTGGTGTGGCAAGGAAGCCGACAGTTGAGAAAGGAAAAAGACCCCCAGGGAACTTCATTTAACCCGAACAAACAGGCGTACCTTATTCAGAAGTTCTTGCAAATTGAGGGCACTTCCTCAGAGCGTTTGGTTTTAATGTGACATTTGATACGGAGGGCTTGGTTCCAGGCTTAGGCAATCAGCAACTTGGAATGGATTTATGCTTGGCTCATTTCAAGGAAATCACAGCAAAGAAAGCAAACAGAAAACGAAAGTGTGGGATGGCTTGTGGAAACACCCACAGACACCCAGGCATGCAGGCTTCAGTGGGAGAATTCTTATCCATAGCCTATTCAGCATCTTTTCAAGCCAAGTTTTGTGTAGCTGTTATACAAAAACAGGAAATTCTTTCTCTTTCCACATTCTGCTCTCTTTTGTTAGGGCTTTTCTAACGACAGAGAGATGGCAGAATGGCAGTAATATCTCCAGAGCCACATTTTGGTGAAATGTATAGATTATCCATGTAGTAGGCTTTACTCTTATGGTCATCTTTCTTATTTCTCATCTCTTCATCTTTCCTACTATCTTCTCCTGTTGGTATCTTACGATGTAACACTTGTTGTTTGCATCTTATGATTAATGATTGTAACTTTGATTTATGATCTATGACCTATCACTTTGCAGTTGTATGTACAGAGAGCTTATGCACTAGAGACAAATTCCTTGTGTGTCCAATCACACTTCGTCTATAAAGTATTTCTAGTCTAGTCTAGTCTAGTCTAGTCTAGTCTATTGTTCTGCTCTGCTCTATCCTATCCTATCCTATCCATTTTACTCTACTCTATTCTTATTTTATAGAAATAATATCTCAGAGTCTTGCTTGACATGTCAACCCAAAGTTTAATTGCAAGTACTAAATAGCTAACTTATAAGCATAATATAAATGAAAGCTAAATGGCTGGCAGAAGGCAAGAAGCACCAAGCAGTTCCGTTTTCCAGACGATAAATATTGTTGGATATTAAATATTAAATAAAGAGAATATTTATAGCTCAGGGTTGAACAATGACGGTCTCCGAGTTCATATCAAGCCCAGACAGCACCAAGGACTCCAAATATCTTAGGTGTCTGCAAGACAAAGAGTATCTTTTTTCTTTTTTGATCCTCACGATATTATAGTAATTTTGAGAAGAATGAAACTGTTAATTTTATTGTCAACCTTTTATACCTTAAAATCATAAATACAATGATTGGAAGGGATTTTGGAGATCATCTGGCCCAGCCTCCTGCCTAATGCAGGACAATGCTGGAAATATTGATAGGTTAATGGTCCTCTTTTTTTTCTTTTCTTTTTTTTGAGGGATAAATTGGAGAATAAACAGGAATACTTTCAAGTCTCTTTGTTCCAAGGAACCGGGTATCTCTAATTTGTACCTCTGAAGAGAGAATGAAATGTTTTTAATGTATCGCAGACAATTCAAATGATGGTTTGACATTCTCTTCCCCACAATGCTGGCGGTGGTGATGGAAGGAATCAGATGCACCTAATTGTCAGGAAGGCTTGCAAAGATCTTTGAAATTGGGAGATCTCTACGTTGGAGGCTTCTTCACCATTTATGAATCCTGGTGCACTTTGCTCTCACGGCATTGATCCTACACACAGATCAAAGATCTCAAAATGTCCTTGTTTCTAATCAGAAGCTGTAGAAAAGGATGATCATTCAAGGGAGGGGAACTAGGTGCTCTTGCAGATGTTTCATTACCCAAACTATGTAACATCCCCAGTGCTAGTGACTACCTATCCAAGTCCAATCCTCCATCCATGTCATGAGAGCTGGTAACACGACAAAGTAAGGAATTACTAGGAGTGGGCAAAGCATGGTATGGCCGTGTCCCACAGAGCCATTATAATCCATTGGATTGGATTATATTTTGCTACAGAAATTATAACGAGATACAAACGGATTGATACCTAGTGTTACTTACAGCAGGAATGTTTGATTTAATATGTAAGGTATAAACAAGGAAGCTAATTCATGCAGAACATGGTTTCTGGAATTCTCTCTAGCCCTTTAACAGCAGTGGCCACAGGAAATCTGTATGTTCCCCTTGTGCAATTAACTAATATATTGCACCTGCTTTTTTGTGTCTTTCTGCATTTCTGTTCTTCCTTTTGAAGGGCTAATTAGTGTGCGTGTACATTTTGCCTGTGAGGATTTGATCAGAGTAGGTGCATATGTGTTGCCTCTGTCTGTGGGGATTATGCTCCTCTCTCATGCTGTGCTTGCATGTGTCACCCATATGGAAGACGGGGCAAATGAGGAAAGCAGTGTGTGAGCCTTGTGCAAGACAAATTCAGGCTTTTCTCTGTGCATTGTGACACGGCACATAGACTCAAGACGTCTTGAGCTCCCAAACACAAAGCCAGGATATGAAAAATAAATAGGTTTTGTGTCCCAAAGTTTCAGACAATGATTGGTGGTTGGCAACCAAGACTCTTGTAGGTGATAGAGCAACGATGACATCTTAAAAGGCATCAAATCTACACCCCCACCTGGATCTACCTAACCAATATAATTTCTGTCTATAAGGCGGCTCTGCTTTGATGGATGGGGCCAGACGAAATGACATTTATAGGCCTGACACTTTGCAACTTCTTCTGCATTAATTCAGCTCTTCCACTGAATGCAGGTGGAGAGATTGTGGAAAATAGTTTCTCACTAGGAAAACGGCAGGCGCAAAGAATCAGGACCACCTGTCAAGTTGCAGTTGAGAATATTTATTGCTCAAGCCTACACACGAGAATAAAGTCGACTCAAGTTCAACTCTTAAATCGGCACTAGAAAGGGTCAACAGAATTGGGGGTGGACTTAGACCGTTTGTCGGAACATAATGGTTCTAGGCTGATGACTTGCTTCACTCCATCACCACCCCAGCTCTGCCTGCTGGTTCTCCTACAGAACAGTGGCTAATTAAGGACAGAAATTTACTCCTACACATTTGGACTACTTTGATGTGAAAAAAAATGGTATGGTCACAGTCACCATCTTGAATTTGTTGCCCCCCACCCCCCATGCACACCCCTGGTCCAGTTGGGTATCTCTTAACAGGAGCCGTTGAAGAGATCAATTTTCTCCCGCCCATAGAGGTCGGCAAGAATTTTCTGTAGTTTCTCCAAGCTCCATTCTTTTACTTCATTCTCGCTGTTTTTTGCAATGGCCGCCCATGAAGCCCTCTTCTTCTTATCCTTCACGCAGCACGCTGCAGACCAGATGTGGCTAGGTCTATTGACCCGGTGCTCCGAGAGATACTCCTTTCCCGGGACAACCCCTGCAATGACATACATGTCAAGGCAGGCCTGAGCTTCCTTTCTGATACGGTTCTCATAGTTTGCCCAGGAATCTTGGTTGAGTTTGCTGAACTGGGGCACGATGTTAGTCAAGGTGGAAGTGGCAGCTCGACTGTCTTCATCAGGCTGATGGCCCACTGGGTTCAAATGTCCCTTTTCAATACTTAAAGACTGGGTGTAATCCCCAAAAATGGCCTGGGTTTTTTTTATCATATCAGCAGGAAGGTTGGCTTGACGCTCGTCCTCCATGTTCTTGCCTAAAGTGGGATCTACAAGCTAGAAAACAAACGGAACCGAGTTAGTAGTTCACGGGAAACATGCAACAGCAACGCAGGTTGGAGGATCAACCGAAGAGAGCTTCGAAGGAAGGAATCTGGACAATGATAGAATTTTAGGCTCATAGAAATGATAGAAGTGAGACTATGGAATCCAAAATCTCTTTCAATGCAAGGGATCCAAATTAAAACAACCCTAATCTTCCAGTCTTCACTTGAACACTTCTGATAAAGGGAAGCACATTCTTGGTTGGTGGCATCAACAATATGACTTTTACAGAGAGGTGTCAAACTCACCGCATCACATTGCGATCATGTGACATCTCGCGACCTCTTCCCCCTTCGCGGAGCTGGGGTGGGCATGGCCTGTATGTGATGCATCTGGCCCGCGGGTTGCCAGTTTGACACCCCTGAGCTGGATGGATGATTGATCTATGTCAGACTCTGCCTTCCTATATTGTAAGACCAAATTCTATGCATGCTGGTTGGGGAAATCAATAAAGGAGAATATTTGTAGCACAGGGTTGAAACGAGGGGTCCCTGGTCCTCTCTGAGCTTTCTTGCTTTCTTGCAGGCATTTCATGACCCAACTAGGGAACAGCATCAGAGCATTGATGAGGCTACCTAGTTTGGATAATGAAATGTCTGCAAGAAGACCACCAAGTTTAGAGAGCACCAAGGACCCCTCGTAGCTGGGGAATTCTGGACGTCTCCGGAATCCAGCTTAAAGCCGTAGAGATTGAGAAGCACTGAGCTTGATGGGTCAATGGTTAGAAACAGTATGAAGCAGACCATCTCTAGAGCCAGAGGGGTGAGGGGGAAAATGCCGTTACCTGAGGCTCAATCATCCAACCTCGGTATCTGGGACCATGTCCGGGTTTGCATTTGTAAGCAGAGTATATGGGGATGCGCTTCTCTCGGTCATACATGGTGGCAAAACGGTAGGCGTTGTTGTAAAACTGGCAAATCCTCGCGGGGTTGCCCGGCGTCAGAGCATCTCCGGGTGGCGACTTATCCAAAAAGAACTCAAGGCAATTCTTGAAGTCTTGCACCACTTCAGTGTTTGCAGCCAGGGGAAAGCAGGCAACCATCAAAAGCAGGGATGACAGCGACAACATGGCTTACGAAGCTCTGAGCCTGGAAGAAAGATGGCCATCAAAATCCTCACCAGACCCCTTGCCCTCCTACCTGGGCAAAGTATGGATTAAGACAGTTTATGGCTTCGCACAACGAGCGAGAACCCGTTTCCTCCACCACGGCCTATAGTGCCACCGCTTTCTTTTCTACCCTGTTTCTTGCTGTCCACATTCACACCTTTTTGCTTGTGCTTCTTTCCTGACAGAGCAATTGATCAATGGAACGGCTTGCCTTCAGAAGTTGCAGGTACTCCATCACGGTAGGATTTTAAGAAGAGATTGGACAAACCTTTGTCTGAAATGCTATAGGGTCTCCTTCTTGTGCAGGGGGTTGGACTAGAAGACCCCCAGGGCCCCTTCCAACTCAAGCTATTCTGTTATTTGCTTTAACGTGACAAGAGAAGCAGAACATGGATTAATGCCTTCCAATTCTATCTCCCTATGCATACAATGAAGTGGCCTGCAGCTCGTAAAAGATGATGCTTTTAATCAATTGTTAGTTAGAAAGGGGGCTACCAGATTCCTCTGGATTTGTGGCCCCTACAGATTAACACGGCCGTCCTCCTACAAAGTTATCAACTCCAGAACTCTGGGATACTAAGAAGCAATCTCTGAACAGAATCACAACTTAGGGGAAAGATGATAGTATCTGGATGCAGGGAGGATGGTCAAGAACTCCTTTCTATGATCAGACGAACCAAAACAGAAATAAGGAATATGCAGGTTGCAATTCAGAAAAATCATTGTCCTGCCTGTAGAAAGAAGCTCTGCAGCTCCCTAGATTTTGTAAATATAAGGGGAAAGTTCCCGGGGAGGGGGGGGGAAAGAAAGAAGACTATAAGGATAAATGTACAATTATGAAGTAAAATTGAAAAGAAAGTGAAAAGAAAGTATATATTATTAGAATATTGGAATTGCTCGGATACCGAACAAGGAAAATATTCTACAAGAAAGGAGAAAGAAAGGAGAGAGGAGTAGAGGGTAAGAAGAGGAGAGGGAGAGAGAGGAATGGAAGAAAGGGGAAAGGAGAGGAAGAAAAGGCAGGGGACAGGAGGAGAGAAGGTGAGAAAGGGGGGAAAGAGGGGAGGAGCAGGGGAAAGGAAGGGGATGTAGGAAGAGGAAGGAGAGGAGGGAGAAAGTAGGAGAGGAGAGGAGGCAGGGAAGGGAAAGGAGGAGGGTTGTTGTGAAACAAGGGAAAAGAAAGGGTAGAAGAGCAACCCCAAATGTAATTAAAATGCCTTATTTTTATACTTTAAGAAAAATATGTATATGAATGACCAATTATATATAAGAGAAATGTACAATTATGTGTATAAGAAATAAAAATGAAAAACTTTTTTCAAAAAAAAAAGGGGGGGAGTTCCCAAGAGCTGGCACAATCAAGGGGCTGTCCAATTACAGGCTGACTCATATTTATGACGGTTGCAGCAGGGGTGAAATCCAAAACTTTTCCCTACCGGTTCTGTGAGCGTAGCTTGGTGGGTGTGGCAGGGGAAGGATATTGTAAAATCTCCATTTCTACCCCACTCTGGGGCCAGCCAGAGGTAGTATTTGCCAGTTCTCCGAACTACTCAAAATTTCCGCTACCGGTTCTCCAGAACTTGTTAGAACCTGCTGGATTTCACCCCTGGGTTGAAGGGTCCTGGGTCATGTGATCAGCTTTTGCAAACCTTCTGACAAGCAGAGTCAATGGGGAAGCCAGATTCACTTAACAACAGGGTTACTTACTTAAGAAATGCAATGATTCACTTAGCAACCGTGGCAAGAAGTCTTAAAATGGGGCAAAAACTCACTTAACAAATGTTTCACTTAGCAAGATAACTTTTGGGCTCTGTTTTGATCGTAATTTGAGGACTACTACCCGTATAGGAAAGCACTCACTGTATAGCAACTCTTTCTCCTGAACCCCAGTATTATCTTTCCTAAATATGTAGTTCAAAACTGACAGCAGCCAGAGGATGGAACAACAGTGCAAGATTAGAAGACGTGGAGGGACCTGGCTCAGAGAATCACCAAGTCAGACATGACTGAATGCATAACATCGTAATCGAATACTTAGATCGCAGTGACCAAATACCTCTTCTCAGTCACACTAAGATTTAGGCCAAACAGGCTTTGGTTACCAAAAGGCAGGTGCCAACTCCATGTAGGGGAAAAAATGACCTAACAGAAAGAGCATTTGACTGTGGGATCAGTGTCCAAAGAAGTTCTAACTTTTAACGTTCATCTGGAGTTGAACTGTCACTCATTCTGGATGCCCTGAACTGAGCCCCAATTCACCCATCCTAGTTCTACAGCTTGCTTCCCGTAACGTGCAAAAACAGGCCAGTTAAATATCTATGGGCTGCATTCGTACAACTTAGTTTTAGCCTTGGTTAGCTTTTTTGTGGCTTAATACGCTCAACAGAGCTCAAGCAGCTGTTTGGTTCGGTTCCGATTCAGGGTATCCTTTGGGGAAAAGCCTGTTATAGAAACCCAGCCTTTACTTGCAGAGTCCTGGAAAACCGAGATGCTCCTCTGTAGAGCTTATTTCCCTTAATTATTTTCTGAATTGCAACCTGGTTTGATTGGCAAGGAAACAACGAAATGGGTCTATCATTAACCCAATTTGCACCCAAAGTAAATGCTGGCAAACAGTTCAGGCAAAGAATCCATCAGAGTTTGAATATTTATTCAGAAGTACAGGATGGGTTATTATGATATACAGCAGCTATTCCAAACACACCGAAAAAAAACGCTTCCTAAAGCCATCTTTTAGGGTGCAAGACTCACCTTTGGCTGTGCAATCCTTGGAGCAGGAGAAGATGAAGGTGAGAATGGCGTGGACAAGTCTGAAGTTTGAGAAGAAAGTCCAGGCTGTGAAAAATCTCTCCACGACTAGGATTTATAAAGGAACAGAAAAATTGCCCCCAGGAGCTGAAGCAATAAATGCAAGGATGAGTCTGGAATCTAAATTCTAAAACATCCGTCTTGATAATATTTTATTTTTTTAAAGAACGCCCTAGTTTACCTCAGATTTGCAATTCAAGCTGGAGGAGTTTATGTACCAGAATCCCATCTGGATGCGCACATCAGAAAACCTGGGTGTGGTATTAAAAGGGAAGCTAGCGCCAGCCTGATTGCGATGCGCCTTGTTTTCCATCGATTAGGAAGCTGGAGGCAAGTGAAATTTTTATTAAGCTTTTGGGCTTCTTAAAAAAAAAAAAGAACTTGACACATCTGTCTATTTGTAATAAGAGTTTAGACAGGGAAGAAAATGAAATTACGAAAGGCTCTGAGGGCTTAGCTCTACAATCTTGAGTTTTTCCAATTCAGAATGCAAAGTTCTGGGCTCGTTTGTGGTGCTCACAAAAACCGTCACTGTTTTTTGGAGAGCTTTCTCGTCTTTAACAATGGCAGCTGAGTCCCAGGGGCCATTCGCACTTCAGGCCTGGAGTTAATAAGCCACCCAAACTTTAAGCCAGAGTGGCAAAAGTTGCAAAAGTGACGCAATTTTTGGAGTTGAGAAATATGAAGAGCGAAATTAGTGCTAGATTTTGAAGACGTTTATGGCAGCTATTATGCTTCTTAAAATGCAAGAACTACGGTCCCCAAACTAGTCCTCTATGAGTGAAGTATATGTGATTGTTGAATTTGGTTGGTGTAGATTCACGGGAACATCGTTGGTTCATTTTAAATAATGAATTCATCAATATCTACCCATCTTTCCTTCTTACAAATGGGAAGAATTTGAGATTAAAAATGGATACAATTGTGAGAAAAAAAAATCCAGAAATTCACCAATTCCTCAGCGGAGCAGGTTAACCAACCTCTTGCTCCTTGACTGCAGAATAAGCCAGAAATAATATCAATTCCTTCATCACTCATTAAATAAGACTATTTAAAAACTGAGAATGTCCAAATACTAACCTATAATCTTACAGTTGTGGATCTCAGAAACTCTGCAAACCAAACGGATGTAATCTTGCAGGCCACTGTGTGGTTTCATAGGAAGGCAGCAGCACCCCACAAGTTGCTGTTGTTGTTGCCCCAAAACCTATGTCTGGAGACACTATATAGGTATCTTGCTCATGAGATCTCTCTCCAAGAATTTAGTTATTGATTTATTAATCAAATTTATATTGCGGCCCATCTCCCCAAAAGACAGCTTTAGGCAGTGCACAATAAACACATGAGCCAATATAAAATTGATAAAAATAGAAAACGTCTCGATAACAATTAGCAAGAACACAAAACTTTTAACCCTGGGCAAAGGGAGGATAAAAATAGCTCCCTCAACAAAGGAATCATGGGGAGAGATCTTTGGTCCTGGAGTGCCCCAGGCCTGGCAGCAATTCCAGGTCTTGAGGACCTTATGAAAAATCCAAGGGAGGGCCAATCTAATTTCAAGGGGGTAAAGGCTCCACAAGATAGGCATCATGGCAGAGAAGGTACCCACCAGATGTAGACCCCTAACTGAAAGCACCTGCAAGCATGCCTTTCTCTGCCAGGTGGGATGGAGTGGGCTGGGGAGAGGCAACTGTTCTCAGTCTTGGCAACGTTATACCATCTGCTTTAATCCAGAAATGACGACTTCCACTCGCTAGGATCTTGGCCATTTATAAGAAAGATTTATTCAGTTATGGATGAAATCAGGTCACTGAAGAACAAGGTGGCTGAAGACCCATCAAAGGTGACACCAAAGCTGAGCATGGAACAACTCAAAGAAGTAGCGATGTGGAGAGGCCTGGCCCAAAGAATCGCCAAGAGTCAGACACGACTGACTGGGTAACACCATTATCATCCAGCTGCCACAGTTGCTCTTATCAGGTAAACGACTCTCAGTTGCCAATCACTGTCGTAGACAGAAGCCTTGGAAATCAGAAATGGCCTTTGGTTTTGGGAGCTCAAGACACCTAACCTTTCCTCTTCCTCTTCCCACATACTCCCTGTGAAATGGAGCCAAGAGAGACCCATTGAGACCCAAAATCAAGCTGAAGGTAGGCCTGAAGCTGGGTCTGCCAGTCAATAGCCCACTCGGGCTCTTGACTGATGGGGAGGGACTGGCCAAAGCCCATCATCGGGGGGCTTCTGTAGTTGAGGGGGCATCACAAACTGGGTTTTCCTCATCTTCGTCACAATCTACAGTCTCTTGTATCTCAACCTTCTTTTTTTCCAAAAGGGCATCAAGAGAAGAAGACATCTCTGACTTTACACACGAAGATGTAACAAGTAAGGATGGTGGAAAAATTCATTCCATGTAGTTTTCCCCCCCCTCCTTGTTCTTCTTGTAAGAATTTACAGTTCATAAATGGGACTGAAAAGCATGGAAACAGGAGGAAGTGACCATGGCGGTACCAGAAACAAATCTTGAATAGTCCTTTAGGCAATGTAAAGGGAATTATCTTCCATTGTTGACAACCCTATTTTCAGTAACTGCAATTTACATAGCTTTTAACCTTCTGCTAATAAATCCAGCCTGGCTCTTTACAACGTAGCCTGTTCTGGCAATCCAAAAAATAATCAAGATTGAATCTCATCCGCATCCATTACAAAGGCGCTCTCTCACTGGTATTTTATTCTCTCTAGTATGGCCATTTCATAGTGAGATAAGGATAAGAATGGACCGGGATAGGCAAATGCATTCGTTTAGAATATCCCCAGGTGGCAAGTCATTGAATTCAAAAGCAGATTTCTTCATTTGAGGAAAAATGTGAATAGAACATTTTGGCAGGACTCCCAAGTAATATTTTGATTTTCTTTGCAATATATTTCCTGAGCAGAGTGCTGAATTGAATCTGCTGGTTGTGCAGAAATGGTATAGCTTGAATTACTTGCTCAGCTGCTAAGATCAGTTAAAAAGATGTTCTTTAAAGTCAAAGGATCCTAGAATTATAGATTTAAATCTCCCTGTATTTGGATATCCTTACTAAATATCCAGCCTCTGCTTAAAGAAACCACCCTACACGGGAGCCACTGACTGACAGCTTTTACTGTCAACAAGTTCTTCCCAATGTCTAATTTGTATCCACATCCTTGACATTTCTTCCAATATCCTTTCATTGTCTCTATATCAACAATTCACCACCACGTTGTATTTTACTATTTCATTTCTACATTGATAGATCCTTTCTTCTTGTGTTTATCACACGTCCTAAACAGTCTTATTTTCTTTCTATATTTCTTTCCTTTCTTCACTATATTCTTCCTGTTCTTTTCTTTTCTGTATTTTTTTTTCTTTTGCACATTTCACTTTCTATACTTTCCTTTCTTTCTATTGGATAAATAATTAAAAAAGGAGAAAGCACAAAACTTGACACGCTTTGCTTGGCTGATATTCCTCTTAGCTGGACAATTTGTGGGTTGCAAAAGATTCAGGAGCATCTTGGCTGCCAGCAGAGAGTCTAGAGGGGGGTTGGGGTTGAGGCTTGAAGAGCCTAGAAGAGGAGAAATGGAAGTGGTTGGGGCTGGGCTGGTCCAGGAGGAGAGATCAAGCCGCCAAGGAGAATGCGATATTGTTCCAAGAAACTTTTTTTCCAAAAGGTAACTTGAATTTCTTGGATTTTTCTTTGAAAACATTCCAAATGAGGAATACACAAACTTGAAAGGAGGTTGGTGACTTGAGGCATCTCCATCCATCTATCCCACTGCCCCCCTCCCCATGATTTCCAGTGAATAGCTGGGCACCTGTTACAGCCATTTTCATGGGTGGCTACCAACCCTTCCATGGCGGCAAACTACATAATATTAACTGTATTGTCTTGAACCTTCTTGTGTTGAGCTTCTGAAGATGACCCAAGTTCTGATTTTGTGAGAGTAGGAAGAGGCTAAAAAAAGATTTCCTTTTACACTCAGGCCTTCCCGAGAGTGTTTCTCCTTTCCTTGAATAGCCTGATGTGTTAAGTTTCAAGTGGTGGTTGTGATTTGCGGCTTTTATAGTTTCAAAACTTGCCCAGTTCTTAAAAGCCTTAAGATAGCTGACTATATTTCCATGCTATTCATGATCAGCTCTGTATCATCTTCCCTCTTATCTGCCTTTATAATCAGATGCCTTTGATTAGAGTCACTTGGATAGTGTGAGTGAGTCTGCTTCTGGTTGTTGCCATCTTTTGTTCTTTTTATTATTGCATTGGGGGACGGGGAGTGTTTTCTCCTTGTGAACTGCCCGGAGTTGCTGGGAGTTGGGCCATGTACACATTTAATAAACGAATTCCAGATATTGTCACAAACAAATATTCACCATGTTTGCCTATCTCCAATGTGTGCAATTCAAACTAAGGATATGCCGGAAACCATCTGTACCTCCAGCAAATCACAAGGATGCCAACGTATTGACACATGTACAGTGATGTAACTTCACAATGCCCCTGTAACAATTTTCAATGGAGTATGTATTATAGGAAACAGATATTTTAAACGGGAGTAACACTAGATTCTTGTCCTTAAAACTATCCAGAAATGCCCCATTCCTGCTCAGTTTTGTTGAATTACAATTGGAAAGCCTATGCTAGTTAAATTGGATTAAAATCAATATAATGCTTAAATGAACTTTTGCCCAGATGCAAAAATTTTTCCACCACTGTGCCAAAAAAAAACCCCTGTAGACACTGGATAAATGTCAATGGAGACTCTCAAATCAAGTCATGGTTGTCATGAACTGAAGAAGCTTCTTGCACGAGAAGCAAAACGTTTTCAAAGAAAAAAGCAACAAGAAGAAAGTCAAATTGCCTTTTGGGGAAAAAAAATACCGTGGCTATAAGACACTGACCTAATTTTCATGGCACTCAACCACAGTGTGGTGGTTCAGTCACTGTGGTTTGCAGGCCAGGGTTCACGGACCAAGGTTAGTGTTAATCTTAGATGATGATGATGATCTTTAGCTTAATGTGTTGCGCCAACTGCTGCTTTGTTCAATGTACTATTTGGATTCAGAAAATCGGTCAGCTTGGTAGAGCTAAATATGTTGTGCGGACGTACGAAGTATGAATTTACACATATAAACCAGGAAAGTGTGCCATTTTCAGCAAGCCGTGGTGTCACAAACACACAACCAAGTCAATCTTAAAGCAGGCAAAGACAGAATTCACAATCAGGGCTCTCCTATAAACTCTGGCTCCCCCTTGTGCCTAGAGGCTGCAATTACTACCTGAAGTTACGGCAGAACAGCCTGCCTTTTGTGCACAGTTCAATTGTGTCCTCTTCGGTTTCCATCTAAAATGTTTATTAGGGATGAAAAAGGAACCAAGGAAATATAGATATATAGTAGTGGCCAAAATTGTGGAAACCTTTTGGGAAAAGTGTATTTTTGAGGTTTAATGGCTAATTACACCACTTTTTTTGGAGTTTCAAGATAATAATTTTCCACTGCTGGAATGGCCTGGGAATAGCCCAGTTCTTCACCCAACTGAAAAATCTATGGAGCCGACTATAGAAACTTCTTAGTCAGAAGCGACCCAGCAATAAAACCCAGTTAACAGAAGCCATCATTCAATCTTGGTTTCACATTAGAACAGCTGCAGAACTCAAAGACTTGGTTCACTCCATGGGAAGACGTTGTAAGGCCGTCATTCATGCTAAAGGCTACCCAACTAAGTATTAACTGACGTGGTGATAATTTTTGTATATCTTGTTTTTTCTATGTGTTTAACTTTTCTTCTTTATACTGTAACTGCTATTCTAATAGCAAATCCTTCATAAAAGTTATTGCATTACATTCTTGATTAAATTATCTTTCCATTGATATGTAATTTTATGGTAATTCCCCCCAAAAAGTGATGTTATTAGCTTGTTTTAGAAAATACGCTTTTCCCAAAAGGTTTCCACAATTTTGCCCGCTACTGTATGAACAGGAGCAGGAGGATTGTGAGGGCAAGAGGATCTGCTTTGCAGGAAGGAAGGAAGTCTTGAACGGTCACATCGTATCTTCAGAGAAAAGCTCTGAATCCTTGAATGCCTCTGAAACGGTGAAGTGGCCCGAATCAAGAGCCACCTTCCAATCTTGTTCTGGTTGGAGAGGCTGGAAGGGAATGAGGCCAAGCCTCCCATTTTTGTACCCAAGGAAAAGGCCACCCCACTTTCCTGCCACTTCTGTGCATGCAGCTGTTCCCGCTGAGGACCTGGGAACCTTGTTTGCTGCCTACTCCGCAGTGTAACTGGACCAAGCCAGGATTTGCAGCAGCTTTTTCGTAAGCGGGCTACAGATCCATGTAATGTGCTCTAAGGTGAGCATCATGCTTCTCTCTCCCTCTCTCTCTCTCTCCTTCCCTCCCTCCCTCTTCCTTTTTAGATACTTTGGGCCTTGATGATTCAGTCTTCATTTACGCATCTGAAAAGCAGCTAAGTAGAAAAGGCTGGGTTACGTCATTCCGCAATACGCTGCTCAGTCTTCCGTCAACACTCTCAGGAGCCTTACCAATGTCCATAAAGTAATGACACATAATAGGGTACAGCCAGACCTTTTCCTGCTGCATGAGGGACACCTCAGTGGAGTGAGTAACATCAACTGGCCCCTGCTGTACCTGTGGCCAGTCACACACATTGTGGAGTGCAGTTATTGTTTTGCTGAATGAGAATGCGTGAAAGCAGAGAAATGTAGAGCTGGAGATATTCCACAGTCCTTTTCTTCCTTCCTCAGCAGCGACCATGAAATCCATTAAATGGTAGAGGCTCTCCTGCCTAACCAGGGGGTTGGACTAGAAGACCTCCAAGGTCCCTCCCAGCTCTGTTATTCTGTTAAGTCACTGTTCGTGGCGATGAACGTGTTCCTGGAATGAGACATGGCGGGTTTTCTCCCTGTGTGCACACTCAAGAGAGAAAGACAATCTTCCACTTACGGTTCCACTGCTGCGAAGTGCAGCTTTCTTTGTAATTGGTTTCACAACCACGGGACGCTGTGTCGATTGTTTCTCGTGTCCTTTCAAACGGGAGAACCACAACGTGTCCCGGTTGCAACTTTTTTCTCGTAATCCCAAAGGCCGCCTGATGGATCTTAGCCTTCACGTCTAGATCTTGGGTTCAAACAGGGAGACATTCCCCAATCACTATAACCGATTTCAAATGGTGCTAGAAAGAAGAATAGACTCCGAACACCAGAAGAAATCAGTTATCCTTTAAAGGGGTCACTGGAATCTGCGAATCCACGAACTTTGCATCTGTGGCTGCCGAGTATTTTGACAGAGCCACCCTCACTTCCGTATTTATAAACCCCGACTAGGAAACGGGATATTAATTATACCAATAGAACAAACCCTGCTCTTGTTCGGGATTTCAGGTGGTTGGCATGATATACATGGGAATACAAATCCGACAAATTTCCAGCCAGCTGCCCTAGATATTTGCTCACTTAATTTATTTTTAAATGGTGACCATGTGGCACAGAAACCATTCCGGAAAAAAGAGGTTTTCTGCCTAGTCATCTTATTTAAACTTTCTTGCAATCAGCTCTGAATCTCTCCTATTTGCAATCTTCTGTCAATGACATTCTCAAAGGATGCATAAACACGCTCGCTTCCAAGGCCCAGTATCTTCCTGACTTGCCTAAGACGGCCAGGTCTATTTAGACCATTTCAATGGTCTAACCTGGCTTAATGATTAACTCAGTTTTACTGCTGAGGCTGTACATGAAAGAGAGGCAATAAATCCAATGTAAATGTGCTGGTCGCGGAAGCTTTTATCGGAAGCCTATGGGAACCAAGGTGGACTCCGAAACGGGTCAATGCGTAGCCATTCTTCCCCCAAAAACACTGATTTCAAATGGTGCTAGACATTGTGTACTTAAATCTAAACCACCATATGAAACCAGATTCCTGAAGGAGCTCCAGGCAAGACTTCCTTGTAGCTGGACGTGTTGAAGACCGATATTCCAGCATGGTGGCTATTTCCTTTTTGTTTCAACAAAGCCGAGACGGTAAAGACTCCTGAAGAAAAAGCCATGTTCTTTTTTTTCCCCTCCCGCGTCATCCTCTTGAAAAAGCCAACATGTAGTTCTGAGCTTGCTGTGGGAAACCTTTAACCGCTCTCAGGGTGGAAGGAAGCTGCAAGAATAAAAAGAAAGCTGAGCCCACATGGAAGAAAAGACAGTTGACCTCGCCTCTTTTCCAATCTCAACAACGTATCTTAAGTCTACATAAATTCATAAGCGTGCCGCAAAGATCAAAGTAAAGGAGTCCCTGTGGATTTTACTCCACTAGTCGTTGCTGACTACAGATAGTCCTCGACTTACAACAGTTCATTTAGTGACTGTTCGAAGTTGCAACGGCCACTGAGTGAGCTATGACCGTTTTTCACACTTACGACTATTGCAGTATCCCCCACGGCCATGTGATCAAAATTCAGATAGTTGGCAACTGACTCATCATTTATGACGGTTGCTGGGTCCCCGGGTCATGTGATCCCCTTTCGTGACCTTCCAAGAAGCAAAGTCAAAGGGAGAAGCCAGATTCCCTTACCAACCATGTTACTAATTTAACAACTGCAGCAATTCACTTAACAACTGTGGCAAGAAAGGTCATAAAATGGGGCAAAATTCACAACTGTCTCACTTAGCAACAGAAATTTTTGTGCTCGTAATTCGAGGACTACCTGTATAGGGGGCGGTGCTCACCTCTGTTTCAAGGGCCAATGAGCCAGCACTGTCTGAAGACAATTTCAGTGGTCATGTGGCCAGCGTGGCTATACACCAAAGGGGCACAGAACGCTCTTAACTTCCCACCAAAGTGGTACCTATTTATCTACTCGCATTTGCATGCTTTCGAACTTCTAGGTGGGCAGGAGTTGGGGCCAGGAACAGGAGCTCATCCCAGTCAAGTCAAGTGAGGGGGTGAGATCAGACGAGAGGGAGAGAGTCTGCCCCAGGCCAGGAGACACCATGAGGCTTGATGGTTCTGGTTTCCCTCAAGTTCCTCCTCCAGATGACAAAAAAATGCAAATGAGGTCCTCTTCCCATTAATAAATAGAAAACACAAGTTCCTTGCTTAATCCTCTTTCTTGTTGTAATCATCAACTGGTTCAGAGATGGAGGCCATCCTGAAGGTATTTCCTCAGCGATGATAAATTGATCGTCTTGAAATCGGCGCATGCGTGAGATGAGCTTCAAGGGCAAGCCCACATGACCCACTGTAGTGTAAAAAAATGGTCAAACTCTTTTTGGTGATGACCAACTCCGGATGACTTCTCCACGTGGCTCCCTTGGCAACAGCCATGGCATTGGCACTGACGACTTCCAGGATGTAAGCCTGAGATTTAGGGCCAGGGGGCATCATCCGTTGCTGAACAGTAACATGGACGTTTTTCTCCTCTGCATTCTGTAATCGAAAGGTTCATTCTTGACCAAGGCCAAAAGGCTTTAAAGTTTGAAGGATCTCAATCTGATATCCGCCTAATAATAGCGCAGGTTACAGCACTGATTTTTTTGGGAGGGTGGGATTAATCCTTTAGATGCTGCCTTTCCCTCAATCTTTTATCTTGAAATATTCTTTTTTTTTTCCCATTTCCTTTCTTGTCACCTGTAAAAAATAATATAAAAAATTCAGATTTTATTTCGCTGCTGAACAACTTCTTTGTCGTCTCTTCCCTAGGGAAGGATATTTCTTTGCCTAAAAATTCTAAATTAAAAACTATCCCTAACAGCAGTTAATGGACATCAACGGCAAAGCCTGCAACCTGAAAGTGGGACTCTGAAAATTACTCACAAATAACATGAACTGGCGAATTCTTTAAGAAGTTTTTTTCTAGAGGAGATAACATTTCTTTAGGAAATGTTTAAAAAGATATCAAGATCACTTCCCCTGTTCCTTCCCCTGTTCTTTTCCCTGACTGGTACATAGAAAAATGTGGTCTTTAAATTAAATTTAAAAATTAAATTTTTAATTAAAATTAATCCAAATTAAAATTAAAAGGCAGTTTTTGTTCCTTCCTGATCTTGTATCTGGGCTCGACTCAGAATGAAGTGGCTGACAGGAAAGCAGAAAGGGATTCTGATGTCAAAAAACGTAAAAAGTTATTTTTTAATGAAATATTTACAGAGTTGCTCTGCTCCAACTTTCAACCATATTGCCTGTTGTGCTGTGGTGTGGATCTTTTACTGCTCCCACTGCAGGAATCTTGGTCTAAATCTAGGTCTCCCTGCTGTGTATCATACATTTAGTTGTAATTCAGATTTATAAAGGTCACCCTAATCAGCATGCATGTTGGGCGACACACAATTAAAATCGATACAATGGCTAAAAATAAAATATAAAATAACATCACCTAGGAGCTAAATGTAACTGAGGGAACATAACCAAGGGAGGCTCTGCACCAAATGGACAGAACATCGGTCTATTCCAGAATCGGGGGGGGGGGACTCTTACAGAATCTGGGGGGGGGGAAACTCTTATCTGCGAGACCTTCTGCCGCCAATAGCCTCCCACCGACCGGTTCGCTCGCACAGGGAGGGCCTCCTCAGGGTGCCGTCGGCCAGACAGTGTCGGCTGGCGACCCCCAGGGGGAGAGCCTTCTCTGTGGCAGCACCCGCCCTCTGGAATGACCTACCCGAGATACGCACGATATCAGACCTCTGGACTTTTCGTCAGGCCCTGAAAACATACTTATTCCATCTAGCCAGGCTGGCTTGATCCCATCCCCTCAGTTTTAATTGAATTTGGTTTTAATTGGGTTGTTTTTAATATCTTGGGCCGAAATTATTTAATTGTTTTTTAAATTGTTTTTAAATTTTATATTTTATATGCAATGTTTTATCTTGGCTGTACACCGCCCTGAGTCCCGCAGGAGAAGGGCGGTATAGAAATAAAATAAATAAATAAATAAATAAATAAATAAATAAATAAATAAATAAATATTTTTAAAGATCATCTAATGTTTTGTAGGATTGGTGAGATTCAAACGTCCAGGCGGATGTTATTCTGAAGGTTATCATGATTTTGCTCATCCTCTGTTTCCCACTCTATTACCTCTATTTAGGCATCAACTGCATAATACAAAGGTAGAAGGAGCTGAAGGCTATCTAGTCCAACTCCAGAAATTCAGAGCATCCACAGTGGTTTTCTCACTTCTGCCTAAAAGCCTTCAAATGAAGAGAAGGAGGAAATCCTCTTCCCTTCCAGGATGCATCCACTGTCTTTCTGCCACCTTTTTAATTTAACTCATCCCTTTTTTTAAAAAAAAAAAATTACCTTTTACTAAGCTCCGGAATCACAAGACAGCACCGCATTTAACACCAAATCATGGCCCTCACCTCTCTTGTTTCTCATCCTCTTGAGTTCTCAGAATATAATTTAAATTTTGTCCCAGCAGGGGGCAGCAGTTACCCAAATTTGACTGGGTCTTGGATGAGAAGGGAAGCAGGTTTTCAAGGGAGGAAAAAAAGCCTCAAGAAAGTCCTGTTGCCTTTTGAAAAACACACTGGATGGTTGAGAATCTCCATAGACATTGTGAGTGGTGGAACCTGAATGGCGTCTGAATGGGGAGAATCACCCAGGCATTCCAGGACTGTAGATGAGACCATAGCGCCAAAGAATTGAGGCCTTTGGAGAAGACTCCTGCGATTCCCTTGGACTGCAAGGCGATCCAACCGGTCAGTCCTAGAGGAGATCAACCCTGACTGCTCTTTAGAAGGCCAGATCCTGAAGAGGAAACTCAAACCCTTTGGCCACCTAATGAGAAGGAAGGACTCCCTGGAGAAGAGCTGAATGCTGGGAACGATGGAGGGCAAAAGAAGAAGGGGACGGCAGAGAAGGAGGTGGCTGGATGGAGTCACCAAAGCAGTCAGCGTGAGCTTCAATGGACTCCAGAGGATGGTAGAGGACAGGAAGGCTTGGAGGAACGTTGTCCATGGGGTCGCGATGGGTTTGGACACGACTTCGCAACTAACAACAACAGATGAGATCATCTCTATCAAGTCATCACGAATCAAGCTTGTGTCTCTTCCTCTTGGTTCACTTTCTCAGTGGTTCAGTTCACACAATACTTAATTGTTCACTTGAAGATCTGGAGGATGTGATCTGCACAATGCATGAAGCTTGATTAACGTTAACCTTATTTTGTGCTTCAGCATATGGTGCAAAATAGTATTTCACTGGCAACAGCAGAGAAGTGGATTGCCGTTGCCTTCTTCTTTTCAAATCCCCAGACTACCTAGGGTTCTAGGATTTCTGGGTGGCCTCCATATATAATCTAGTGGAGAGACAGTTTGGTCTAGTGGTGAAGGCACCAGGCTAGAAACCGGAAGATTGTACCATAGCCCATGAAAGTCAGATGGGTGACGTTGGGCCAATCACCAGGAGACTATGAGTTCTAGTTCTGCCTTATGCATGAAAGGTGCCCAGATGATTTAGTCCATCGCTCTTAGCCCAAATCACCTCACAGGACTGTCATGGGGAAAATAGGACTTTGGGCCAATCACCAGGAGACGGTGAGTTCTAGTTCCACCTTAGGCATGAAAGTCGGCTAGGTGACTTTGGGCCAATCACCAGGAGACCATGAGTTCTCGTTCTGCCTTACGCATGAAAGCTGCCCAGGTGACTTTGGGCCAGTCCCTCTCTCTTAGCCCAACTCACCTCACAGGGTTGTTGTGGGGAAAATAGGAGGATATGTTGAATATGTTTGCCGCCTTAAGTTATTATTTATTAATATTAGGAAAAAAGCTCATGTACTGGAAAACAAAACTCACCTCATCTTTGTAACAATCATCTTTTGGTTCAAGACATCCTCCTGAGAAGAGTTACACCTGAAATTAGAAAGCAGCTTTGTTATTATTCAAAATATGCCAGCAAAAATTCTCTGCAATCATTACTTGTCA